AGCAAAATAAACATCCGATTGGAACTCATGTTGGTTTGAATTATCAAACCCTTCTCTGGATGAAATATCTTGCATATCCCTCCCTTGATGAAAATAGCCAAGCCTCTTTCTTGCAATTGCCCTATGCTCAAGAGATTATTTCTCAACTCTGGAATATAGTATACCTCAGTAACAATATGATTGACTCCATTCAGCAGCAACTTCACACTTCCCTTTCCCATCACATCCATCTTAGTGTTGTTCCCCAATTTTACTGAATGTCGAAATTTTTCATCGAGTTCATTGAACATAATTCGATCGCCACACATGTGATTAGAACACCCTGAATCAAGGAACCATGCATCTTCTCTTCTGGCCTTATGCAACTCCACATAAGACATCAAAAGCATTTCTTCTTCCTCATCAAGCTCTGCATAATTTGCTTCTTTGTTCCCAGAAGGACATTCATACTGAAAATGTCCAAGTCGATGACATCGATAACACTCCACTGTTGCCTTGTTGAAGTCTGCTCGACCTCTCCCTCTTCCTCTTCCTCTGTAGGTACCACGACCACGACCTCTTCCTCCTTCATATGTCACTTTCAAGGCTTGTTCCTCACCATTACGTCTCTGAAACTTCTGTTCATGCACTATTAATGAGCTTTGTAACTCATCAACAGTAAGATCATCAATGTCCTTTGACTCCTCAATAGAACATACAACATAGTTGAACTTCTCAGTTAAAGATCGTAGAATTTTCTCCACCACTTTAACATCCTGCATATCTTCTCCATAAGTTCGCATCTTGTTGGCCACTGTCATGACCCTAGAGAAGTATTCTGTCACTCCTTCACCGAACCTCATCTCAAGAGTTTCAAAATCTCTGCGGAGAGCTTGAAGATGAGACCTTTTGACCCTTGCATTTCCCTCGAATTTTTTTTTCATGGCGTCCCATATCTCTTTGGCAGTACCCTTCTTGAGAATGGTGTCAAGAACGGTCCGGTCGATTGCCTGGAAGAGATAGTTCTTCACTTTCAGATCCTTCAACTTCATCTCATCATTCTTCTTTTGTTGTGCATCTGTCTGCACTGATTCACTTGCTGGCTCAACATAGCCAGGCTCCACTAGCCCCCAAAATTCCTTGGATTGTAGAAAATTCTCCATCAGCATGCTCCAATGGTCATAGTGACCATCAAAGCGAGGAATGGCTGGCTATACAAAACTCCCTTATGTAGTCATCTTCTCTGCTGCTGCAAGAACTTCAAAGGCTGCTGCTTTGATTCGTCAGGCCCAGTGGGAGCTCTGATACCAATTTGTTGAGAACTCTGATATAAATGAAACTAAGAATAAGAACACAACAAGCTGGATTGAATGACTTAGTTTTATTAACAATAACTTTGGCTTAAATAGCCATTCAATACACGATCTTAACAGAAACGAGAAAGCAGCCCACTTAGCAGAAATATAGCCAAGTGGTAACAGAAACGTGGACTAATTCAAATACAAGTAGATGTCCCTAAAAACTAGGACTTTATTCTAACAAACTGCAGTAAACTCCTTCAATATGCTCATCACTCTTTTTAATATTTGACACGTGTCTACAGGTATAATCATAGTTAATTTTTTACATTTATTTATGTATCCACAATTATCTTTATAAACACATATCAAATATTGAAAATGGTAATAAACATACACTTGAATTAAAGTAGTGAGTAAAAATGCTACTATTCGCGTTATATCTCATTTTGTAAAATGACTTCAATGATTTTTAACCGCATTAGGAAATAATTCCTCAATCTCATCCGCTTTTGTAGGGTACAAGATCTCCCCATGGATGACATGTGTAACATGAGTGCTTCAATCACCCGACAACGTAACGGACGTTCCTCGCTCACTACAACCTTTTTTTTACACAAATCCAAAAGCAACCCTCATTTCATCCGTCATCGTCCAACCAACTACCCTTGGATGCCTGCATTGTACATCAAACTCTCTCTCTCTCCCTCTCTCTCTCCAAGTCTATGATTTTCTCTATAGTAAATTCTGTACTAACTTATATTTGCCACATTGGGCCTAACAGTACGCATTCCTATTATTAATGCCACACATGGGTTTCTTTCTTTTCTCTTTTCCTTTTCCCCAAACAAACTATTTTTCTATCTTTTCTCTTCTCTCTCACAGTCACACCCACTCTCCCAGGTGTCTTTCTTCTGCTATGTGACTTTGAGCTACTGCAGATTTCGGTTTGCTCAGCACAGCAAGCAAGACCAAAAATGGAGAAACTTCTCGCAGGAAAGTGCTCTCAAGAACTCTGGTTTGGTATACTCATCTCCTTTGCTATGTGCTTTGTTTTTCTCTGCTTTGATTATTCAACTTTCTGGGCCGTCAACAATGAGGCCAATCTTTTGGTCACCAAAAAAGTTGATCCAATTGGCATTTTGAATTTTAACCAAACCAGAGACTCATGCTCTGATCGTTACATTTACATCCATGAGGGTCTTCCTAGCAGATTCAACTATGATTTCCTCGACAACTGTGAGTCTCTGAGTGCAGGAACCAGTATCAGCAACATCCCAAGTATGTGTCCTCACCTTGTGAATTTAGGTCTTGGCCCTGAAATTAACGGCTCTGAAGGGGTTTTGTCAAACAAGAGCTGGTTCAAAACAAATCCCTACTTGTTAGAAGTCATATTCCACAACAGGATGAAGAACTATGAGTGTTTGACAAAAAATTTCACTCTGGCTTCAGCCATTTATGTGCCATTTTATCCCAGCATGGATGTTGGTGTCCATCTGTGGGATTCGAACCTCACTATCAGAGACTCTTCGGCGAAACATTTCGCGAAGTGGCTTTCGGGGCAACCCGAATGGTCGAAAATGTGGGGGAGAGACCATTTCTTTGCTTCTGGGAGGATTGCTTGGGATTTCAGGAGGGAAAGAGACAATAGCTCTGCTTGGGGTAGTAAACTCAGGTTCTTGCCTGAGTCCAAGAACATGACTATGTTGACATTGGAAGGAAGCAGGTGGAAAAACGACATTGCAATTCCATACCCCACAAACTTTCATCCGGCAAAGGACAGTGAGGTTGTTCAATGGCAGAACAGAGTTATAGAGCAAGAAAGGCCTTATTTGTTCACTTTTGCTGGAGCACCAAGGCCTAACCAGAACGGTTCTATCCGGGGCAAACTTATTGATCATTGCCAAGCTTCAACTAAGTGCAAGTTTCTACATTGCACTGAAAAAAAATGTGGCAATCCCGTTACTGTTATGAGGGTGTTTCAGAGCTCAGTTTATTGCTTGCAGCCTGAAGGGGATTCATACACTCGGAGGTCAGCTTTCGACGCTTTTCTGGCTGGTTGTATTCCAGTTTTCTTTCATCCAGCTACTGCCTATACTCAATATTTATGGTATTTACCAAAAGATCATACCAAGTATTCGGTGTTTATTCCGGTGAGGGATGTAAAAGATTTGAAAGAAGGCCAAATTGAGAATGTGTTGCTTGGAATTTCAAAGGATCAAGAGGTGGCTATGAGAGAGGAGGTTATAAGGTTAATACCAAAGCTGGTATATGCAGATCCTAGGTCAAGATTAGAGACTCAAGATGCATTTGATATAGCTGTGCAAGGAATTCTTGAGAGAATAGAGAATGTGAGAAAGGTGATTAGAGAGGGGAGAGATCCTAGCATTGGTTTTGCAGATGAGGATAATGGTAAGTTCAAATTTCCTGTGACAATAGACTCATAGACTTGGTTGAGTGCAATGGATAGTTTATATACACAGAGCAAGTATAGATGGAAGAAGAAGAGGAGAGATATAGAACTCAAACCAAAAATTTGCAGTTTGGTTTAGAAGCTATGCAACACAATGGAAGTTCCAACGGATCGCAAAATTGTTGCTCTCCCTCGCTTGCTTGTACTGTGATCAATATAGTCGTAGTGTTTGGATGGAGGAAGCTCTTCCTTGGCCTGAGCCTTGTAGAAAATATATATATTTCAAATTCTCTTGCTTAAGCCTCGTGTTCATATGTATTTGAGTTGCACCTCTGCTTGAAATTTCTGGTGATTGCAGAGAGAGTAGAATTCTATGTTAAATTAATCTATAAAGAATAAATGCTTCTATGTAAAGACAGAGTAGAATTTTTTGTGTGTGTTCTTTCCTTGTTCCGGGCATTTTAGAAAATCAACAACAGAGCTTGGAATTTTCATCACTGCAACAAATTAAATGGAAAAAGATCCTGTAATCCTTTACCAAAAATCTCAAAGAACATTTAAAGCAACATTTTTTTTCCCTGTAAGTGGCCACAAGCACATTATAAGGAACAAATCAGTAAGGCTAAGAGCAGAAGTTTAGGGCCTGTTTGATAACCATTTCAATTTTACTTTTTACTTTTTAATTTTTATTTTTTGTGCTAGAGTATAGAGGAAAATATGAGAGTGTGAATGAGAATGAGGATGAGATTGAGAGAGAGGATGAGAGGGAGGAGTAGCAAAAGTGAAAACAAAAACTTGAAAGTGAAAACAATTTAAAATAGATTTCAGTTTTTGGTTTTTGTTTTCATTTTTGTTACTTCTTCCTCCCATCCTCCACTCTCATCTTCTCTCTCAATCCTATCTTCAATCTCATTCTCACTTCCATCCTCCCTCTTTTTCCTCTATATTCTAGCACAAAAAATTAAAACAAAAAATTAAAATTGAAACGGTTAGCTCAACAAATTCTCAATTCTCACCATCATCATTAGTAATGGCACCTATCAAGTTAACTTTGGGATTTCATCTATGAAATTAGAATTTATGTTTTTAAAATGTAATATGGTAATCTTAAATATGGTAGGTTATGTTTAAATATGTCATATATATACCCACACAGAAGTTATTTAAGGGACTCTTGTAAGGTTCACTTTGCATTGTATTTTAATGATCCGAATTGTCTAATTTTTAGTTATACTCTCAAACATCATTCTAAAATCCACTAGAAAATAGAGATTTGTCTCAATAATGTGTGGTCCTCTCACACTTCCAATCAATTAGTGTGCTCCTTAATCTTTTGTTTGCGCATCAATTTGGCCCCTCTCAATACATTCCATCAGCAAGATCAATAATAATTTTTTAATTTTTTAATTAAATTACAAATACAACTATATGTTGACTTAAAATAGAAAATAGAAAAGGGAGCTTCACTAATATACCCAAAATGGGGGATGAATTTATCAAAAAACCCCACATAGAATGCACTTTAGAAACACACCCAAAATACATTTATTATATAACAAATTGGTATTGAAGTTCCTATATATTACAGGGCTGCCACTAATAAGCCCAACAGAAAAAAACTCAAAAAAAACCCAAAACCAACCCAACCCAAATTTATAAACAAGCCCAAACATTTTAACCATCTAGAAAACTGTAACTTTTGTCCAAAAAAAAAAAAACAATAACTCAACTTCCAACACGCGCTTTTATTAACTTCTCTGCAAAACGTCTCTTCGTTCACCTTCATCAAAGCGTCCTCATCTTCAATCAGACAGAAACTCCATAACCACCACCAAGCACCAAGAACAAATACGACACAGTGACCTCCGCCTACAAAACCAAGAGAAAAGTTCAGAGAACGATTTCAACACTAAAACACTTCAAAGGTAAGACATTTACAACACCGAACTTACTGTAATGTTGATAAATTGATATAAAGTTCCATTCTAGGGTAATAACAGTCTCTGCAAAACGTAACTACAAGCATGCATCTTCATTAAATGATCTCTGCAAAACGTCTGATTATTTCATCGTCTTCATCATTTATGCAAACCGAAACTCCATAACCACCATGAAGCTTGATCTACTTTCAAAAACCAACACCACACACTAACCTCCACCTACAAAACAAAGACAAAATTTCATAGAACAATTTCAACAAGAAAAGGCTTCAAAAGTAAGACATTTAAAAGCCAAACCTTTACTGTAATGTTGATTAATTGCTGTAAAGTTCCAGTGTAGGGTAATAATAGTATTTTAGATTCGACTCCAAGATAAAATCTTGAAACTATATTAGATTTTCACTATTGGATTGACTGCATAGGACTATAAAATAGTCGGTTTTCAGCAACTCGAAACAGAAAGAGATATTTAGTCATACAGATTCTTAACACTACTAGTTTACTGTCATGTTGATTAATGGTTGTAAAGTTCCAGTATAGAGTAATAACACTGTTTGTTTCCTATGGAATCCTATTTCTAATGCATGTCGACTACTATAAAGTTTCAGTCTATGGTAATAACACTCCTAGTTTCCTATGAAATCCTATTTCTAATGCATATCTACCACTGTAAAGTTTCAGTATAGGGTAATAATAGTATTTTGATTCGAATCTAGGACAAAATCTTGAAACTATATTGGATTTTCATTACTGAACTGATTGCATAGGACTATAAAATAGTCGATTTTCAGCAACTCAAAAAAGAAAGAGATATTTAGTCATATACCAATTCTTAACACTGCTAGTTTACTGTTATATTGATTAATGATTGTAAAGTTCCAATATAGGGTAATAACACTTCTTGTTTCCTATGAAATCCTATTTCTAATGCATGTCTACCATTGTAAAGTTCTAGTATAGGGTAATAACACTGCTAGATTCCTCTACTTGTTTCCTATGAAATCCTATTTCTAATGCATGTTTACCATTGTAAAGTTCTAGTATAGGGTAATAACACTGCTAGATTCCTCTGAAATCCTATTTCTAATAAATGTCTACTCCCTGTGAAGTTCCAGTATAGGGTAATAACACTGCTAGTTTCCTATAAAATCTGGTTTCTAATGCATGTCTACCACTGTAAAGTTCCAGTATAAGGTAATAACACTGCTTATTTCCTATGAAATCCTATTTCTAATTCATGTCTGTAAAGTTCCAATATAAGGTAATAAGATTTACCATTGTAAAGTTCTAGTATAGGGTAATAACACTGCTAGATTCCTCTGAAATCCTATTTCTAATAAATGTCTACTCCTTGTGAAGTTCCAGTATAGGGTAATAACACTGCTAGTTTCCTATAAAATCTGGTTTCTAATGCATGTCTACCACTGTAAAGTTCAAGTATAAGGTAATAACACTGCTTATTTCCTATGAAATCCTATTTCTAATTCATGTCTGTAAAGTTCCAATATAAGGTAATAACACTGCTACCTAACAGCAAATTATAGTCAACTCAAAAACCAGTAGTGCATAAACAGAAAAAACACAAATATAGTCAAATTCAATTGAAAAAACATACCTCCATTAATATGATAACCGAATCAAATATCACAAATTTGTAACCACAGCTCAAACCAAAACACAAGAGCAAATCCACAACCAAACCGAATATGCAATCAATCCAAATTATAAACAAAAAGTAACTAAAATCACAATTTAAAACTCAAACGAATATCTAAATACAAATTAGAACGAAATCAGAAAATCCAACAGCTTACCACCAAATTGGCAATAACAAAAATAAACATATAAAATCAAGAAGAATTGGATCTACAATTGCACATACATAAACACCAAAATCTAGGGTGTATTGATTAATTTTCAAAACTCCAAAATCTATCCTAACCACATACATAAACACCTAGAGCACGAAAAGTAAATGAAGTTTCATACCTTGATCAACGGAAACAATCGCTTGAGTCGCCGGAAACGACGTTGGAAAACTTAAAATCCACAGACCTTTCCGAGCTCGTAATGGAGTCGTGAGTGGCTGATGTGGCTGGGCTTTAGCCCAGACTTGATCGTCGGCCCTGGCAGGTCCTTTTCTGACCGGTCTCACGGCTGGCTGTGGCCGGAGCACCAAGATCGCTAGAGAGAGACGAGAGAGAGCGTGCCCAAAATTTTTCAAAAAAACTAATTTAATACTAAATGGGTAATAAAGGTATTTTATTTATCTAATTAAAC